CGGCAGGGACAGCAGGGACAGGGTGGGGACAGAGGGGACACAGTGGGGACAGCGGTGACACTGCAGGGGACAGAAGGGACACGGAGAAGGAACAGGGGAAGGGGGCAGTGGCCAGGGGGGAACACAGCCCCCTCTGCAGTGACACCGCGGGGGCAGAGGGGACACAGGGAGGGGGTGGCAGTGGCATCTTACGCTTGGGGCTGCTCTGGCTGTCGGGCTCGGGCACCTTCCAGTCCAGCTTGCGGCCCTTCTCGTAGAGCCCCTTGAGCACCTTGCGGAACTCCTCGGGCTCCGAGCCCTGCGGGCTCAGCTCCAGGTACTTGCGGTACAGCTGCAGCGCCGTCCGCGCGTCCTCGATGCTGTCGTGGGTCTCCCCCTGGATCTTCAGGTCTGCGGGGACACCCCTGGCTCAGCTCGGGGGGAACCGGGGGGGATCCGCCCCTTCCCGGCTCCAAGGGTTCGGCCACTGACCCAGGAAGTACCAGGCGAGGAAGCGCAGGGAGATCATCCTCTTCCTCGGGATGTGGAACAGGTACACGGTGTCGATCACCTGGTCCTTGGGCACCTGGGGAGGGGACGGGGTCCCGCTGTCGGGGCAGGGGGGCTGCGGACCCGACCTGGCCCCTCCCAGCCCCACCCCAGCCCCCCACCGTGGCCAGGGAGGGGGCTCAGGCTGTCACCATCAGGTTGATGACACGGAAGTCCTTCTGCAGCCCGTGGCCCACGAACTTGACGCCCACGTCGATGAGGAAACGCAGCTTCAGGTAAGTGGATTTGAGGGTGGTCAGGTGCTTGGAGGAGATCTTGGCATCCAGGTCTCCTGGCTTGATCCCGGAGTACTGGGTCAGGTAATCCACCACCTGCAGAGACCAGGGCACCTGGAGGGGGCTGGCAGGACCCAGGGGCTCCTCCTCCTCCCCAATTCCCCTGTCAGCACCCTGAGGAGGGGGCTGGTGTGCCCCAGGTGACCCTGGAGCACAGAGGTGTCCGGGTGAGGACACGGGAGTCCAGGTGAGACCACCACAGAGGACACAGGTGTCCATGGGGAGCACCTGGGTGTCTGAGTGAGGTCACCATAGAGAACACGGGAGTCCAGGTAAGGTCACCAAAGGGGACAAAGGAGTCCCTGGAGAGCACCCAGGTGTCCATGGGGAGCCCCCAGGTGCCCAGGTGAGCTCACCATGGAGAACACAGGTGCCCAGGTGAGGTCACTGTCACTGGTAGAGGAGGTCCATGTCCTTCCTGGGGGCCTGGGGAGCTGCGTGAGGCCAGGTGGACACCCCATACCTGCTCCTGGGTGGAGATGTAGTCATCGATGAAGGGGACGCCCTCATTGGGGCCCTGCCCACGCACGCAGGTGATCCGGGCCACCGACATCTGGCTGGGCTTGATGGTGGACTTGGTGCCATCACTGCGCAGCTCGGCCTCCTCCTGCCACCAGGGACGGCAGACGCGGTGACCAACAGCCCCAGAGGGGCCGTCCCTGTCCCCCCTGTCCCC